TTTGAAAGTATGTATTATCAGCCAGGACAATTGGTGAGTAAACATCTATCTGTCATTCATAGGTAGGAGATAATGGTATGGAAATAGTTCTTTCACATATTCAGTCTAAATGACTAATATCAAACTATCACCGCATAAAGTTTAAAACACACTGATGCCTCTCTCTGTCTCTCTCTGTCTGTCTGTCTGTCTGTCTCTCTCTCTCTCTCTCTCACACACACACATACACACACGCACACACACACAAACACATTCACACCAAACTTCATTTCTAAAAAAGAACAATTTGAATAATGGGGTTGCTTCCCTCAAAGTGCGGAGAAATGGAGAAGCACTCTGAAAATAATTGAGTGTGAAAGGATTAGGCCTAAGACTGCAGAGTGAGAAAGGAACACATCACCCCGATACTCGGCAGTAGCATCTGCTATTCATGAAGGTGGTACGGATTCCCGATGGTGATAGGCAAGGCATGGGTGTAATATGCATCCCTTTGTAACTCAAGACCCTAGAATACAGTTAGGAGGAGGATTGTAAAAGTTCCCTCAAATGTCAAGATTCTGAAATGGCATAACAATAGCCTGCTTATATTTCTTATCTGAACATTAAGAGTCAGGCAGGATACATATGAAAATGTTGAATTGTTCCTTATATTGTCCACTTTTTCTGAAAGATTAAATAGCAAAATATATTACAAAACAGTTTTCAATAACTTTTGTTGAAATTTTGTTAGTGGGGAGATAAAAAGAAAAAAAGAAGAAAGAAAATATTTTCTTTGCCTCTATATCAGCATGTCTCAATTACCAGTCTCTTGAGGCTCAAGGAAAGCTTTCTTCTAATTATCCTTCCTTCAGATCCAGGCTATTTGGGCATTGGGGCATACAAGGGGTTTTACAAAAGTTCAAGGAAAATTTATTCTCTTTTAAATTACATTTTTCCGTGAACTTTATGAAGTTCCCTCATGGGAAAGACTTCCATCCTCCCAACCAATCCTCTCTCCCTCTATGGTTTTCTGAAGCCCTGAGTAAAAGAGAAGGCTGATGAGCATAATCCAAGCTGGCCCAAAGTAGAAGAAATCACACTTCATAGAGCTAGAGAGGCCAGCCCAGTTTGACAGTGTTGGTCAGCATGCAAAGTCCTACCCCGGCACCGCTGGCTTCTCTACAGAGCTTTACTCTCTCCAGGGAGTCTATATACTCTTAATTTCTCAAAAGATGACCGTTGGCAGAAATCCACCGTCAAGGCTCCTCATTTTAAAGAATTCCAAAGTCACACAGAAGTCAGATTAGAAAATTAGACTCCGGAATGCCGTAGACAAGGATTCTAATTCCAATTTGTTAATCTCCATGCCTGTGCTTGCTTGGCAGTAGATGGAGCTAATAACTGCACCTGCATCATAACGTGGAACTCAGATAATATATGTACACATTTTCTTGTTAACAGGTATGGTAGCGGAAAGGAGGGCCACTCACTATGTCAAGAGTAAACTCCATTGCCATCAAATCAGTTCTGGCTCATAACAACCCTATAGGACAGACTAGAACTGCTCACCAAAAAAAGGGGGGTTTCCAAGTTTAGAAAGCTGTACCACAGAAGAATGCCTCATATGTTTCCCCTCAGAGCAGCCGTGTTCATAATGAATGGGGATACATATTAATTCAGGTGAAGGGAAATGCAAGATGCAATAAGGGGAACATTAGCACAATGTGACAAAGCAAAGGCCGGCACTGGGAGGTGCACAAGGGTTAAAGGCAATGGAGGGTACATACACAATCCTGCAAGAACCGTAATAAATAATCTTTGAGTGAATACATAGCTAGAAATAGAAGCTGAGCAAGCTGATCCCACCATACAGAGGCAAAACACTAAGGGTGTGCAACAGAACAGCTAGGGGAACAGATCAAGGAAGTCCCCCGAGAATGACAAAAATAGACTTTGGGGCCAGGGCGTGGCACCCCATCAGACCCAACCAGAAGACACTCCTAAAGGTCAACAAACAGACCTTTTAACAAACTTTTCTTTTTGTGTGTGTGTGTGTGTTACTAGTTTATGTTGTTGATGCTGCTGCTGTTGTTTTGTTTTTTCTGTTTTGCTTTGTTTGGTGCTGTCTTGTTTTTATGTGCATATTATTGTCTCTGCAGGACTATCTAGATAAGATAGGCTGGTTAAATAGTGTGGAGAAGAAAACAACAGGACGGGTGGTTCCAGGGTAGATGGGAGAGGGGGAGGTAGGGAGAAAGGAAGTGGTGTTAACAAACCCAGGGACAAGGGAACAATGAGTGACTCAAAACCAGTGGCAAGGAGGGTGTGGGAGGCCTGGTAGGGAGTGAGCAATCAAGGACAATGTAACTGAGAGGAATTACTGAAACCGATATGAAGGTAGAGCCAGATAGTGGAACAAGATGAAAGTGAAAGGAAATAGAGGAAAGAACTAGGAGGCCAAGGGCATTTATAGAGGCCTGAATATGGGCATGTATATATGTAAATATATTTATAGATGATGATGGGGAAATAGATCTATGTGAATATATTTATAGGTTTAGTATTAAAGCAACAGATGGACATTGGGCCCCCACTCAAGTACTGTCTCAGTACAAGAACACTTTGTTCTATTAAACTGATATTCCATGATGCTCACCTTACTGACATGATAGCTGAAGACAAATGTGTGCCTAAGCAAGTGTGGTGAAGAAAGCTGATGGTGCCTGGCTATCAAAAGATATAGCATCTGGGGTCTTAAAGGCTTGAAGGTAAACAAGCGACAATCTAGCTGGGAAGCAACAAAGCCCACATGGAAGAAGCACACCTGCCTGTGTGATCCCAAGGTGTCGAAGGGATCAGTATCAAGCACCAAAGGACAAAGAAATCACATCATTGTAAATGAGGGGTGTGGGGTGTGGGTGGGGACACAAGGCCCATCTGTAGGCAACTGGACATCCCTTTGCAGAGGGGTTGCGGGAGGAGACAAGCCAGTCAGGGTACAGTGTAGCAATGATGAAACCTACAACTTTCCTCTAGTTTTTAAATGCTCCCTCACCCACTATTATGATCCCAATTCTACTTTACAAACCTGGCTAGACCAGAGGATTTACACTGGTGCAGATAGGAACTGGAAACACAGGGAAGCTAGGACAGATGAACCCCTCAGGACCAGTGGTGAGAGTGGTGATACCTGGAGGGTGGAGGGAAGGTGGGGTAGAAAGGATGAACGATTACAAGGATCTACATATAGCCTCCTCCTTGGGGGATGGACAACAGAAAAGTGGGTGAATGGAGGTGTTGGACCGTGTAAGATATGATAAAATAATAATAATTTATAAATTATCAAGGGTTTATGAGGGAAGGGGCGGGTGGGGAGAGAGGGGGAAAATGAAGAGCTGATACCAAGGGCTCAACTGGAAGGCAAATGTTTTGAGGATAATGATGGCAACAAATGTACAAATGTGCTTGACACGATGGATGTATATATGGATTGTGCTAAGAGTTGTATGAACCCCCAATAAAATGATGTTTTTTAAAAAGAAGGAGCTGAGCAAGCATAGAATGCAGAGTGGGACCACCTTAACTAGTATATAAAGGTTTCACAGAGGATATTTATACATACATATTTGTATGTGTGACAAATATCTCTCTTTATGAAGTATATAGGGGACAGAGTTATGAAGTGTCTTTGCCAGAACCTAAAACTTTGATGGACCAAGTCACTAGGCTTGAAGGCTTAGGACCAGAGCCCTGGGAGTCATCCAGGTCAATCTAGTCCATAAAGACAAGGATGTACATCCTGCTTCGGTGAGTAGCAACTGGGGTTTTAAAAGCTTACAAGTGGCCATCTAAGATACAACTATTGATCTCTTTGCCTCTGCAGCAAAGAAGAGTGAGGACAATCAGAGACTCAAGGAAACAATTCATCCAAAGGATAGAAGACCACACAAATCACTACCTCCACTAGCCACTAGCCTGGCGCCAAAAGAACTAGATGCTTCCTACCACTGACTGTGCTGATTGGGATCACAACCGAAGGTTCTGGACAAAGTGGAAGCGCAATGTAAAACTGAATTCAAAATCAGTTTTTAGAAGACTAGGCTTGCTTGTTTGATAGAGACTGCTGGAGACCCTAAGAAGCCCTCCAACCTGAAACTGAACCCACTTTTGGAGATCCACTTATAGCCATACACCGGGGAGGCCAGCAACGTGAACAATAACACCAGCGAGGAACGTGCTCATCAACAAACATCCAGAGGAGATCAAAAGGGCTGTATTTACCCAAAAACAAAATTCAGATGGCAGGAAGGGGCAGAAAAGAAGGACAAGTAGAAACAGGGAACCCTGAAAGGAGGTGGGAAGAGTGCTCTAACCCTGAAGGGATTACAACTAGTGTTATGGGGGGTTGGGGGCGGGGGAGAGTGTATAAATTGTTGAATGGAAAGCTAATCTGCTATGTCAATTTTTACCCAAGTTACAAAAAGTTCAAGTAAATAAATAAATAAAATCAGATCACGTGTCTCTTAAATAAATAAATAAATAAAAAAGCACTTTGCCTGCAGTGAATCCACGGCAGTTCATTGATGATTATTCTTAACCTCGTTGTAATTAGAGCACTGCTTTTCAACTCCCTCTGCTTCCTTTAGACTCATTTGAAGTAGCTCTTTTCTAAGTTGTGCTCATATCTTTGACGTTGCCTGGTCACCCTGGCCAAAGGAAATATCACTCATTAACCTTAAGCACCCCGTGGAAGACCTGCCAGCTGGCAGCTGACAGATTGACACTTGTTTTCATTTCAGTTGTGAAGCGCCCACTGCACTTCTTCCCTTTCAAAGCATGTCCTTTGTACTTACTTGAGTGCACTCTGACCCCCTGTGACTTCAAAAGTCCAAGTAAGAACTGCTCCATTTCCTCCTGAGCTTTGATGAGATATCAAAAGCATTAGCAAAACGGTTGAGAATTGTAAAACAGATTTGTCCATAGCCTACTGCATCATCATTACCCGGCATTCCTGGGCCAACATGGAATTGATCATGTAAGGAGAATGCAAAGTCCTAAATGCGTATTTTAATTATGGATAGTTAGGATACAGTGTTTTCCATCAACCGCTTGCTTTAGTTGGAAATTACAGTTAATTTAGATGCAAACCCAAGCCCAAACCCACCCCTATCAAGTCCCCTTCAATTCATAGCAACTTCACAGAGCAGAGTAGAACAGCTCTCTAGGTTCCTGAGATTGTCACTCTTTACAGGAGCAGACAATCTCCTCTTCCCCCGGGAGTGACTGGTGACTTTGAACCACCCACGTTGTCATGAGCAGCCCAAGGCCAAACCCAGTGCACTGTCAGGACTCCTTTTCGATGACCCCAACCGCACATCCAAACCCACCGCCATCAAGCTGATTCCTACGCAGTGATCCCATCTAGCGTTTCTGGGCTTTAGTACTTTCCAGGAGGAGACAGCCTCATCTTTCTCCTACAGAGTGACTGGGGGTTTGAGCCTCTGACGTTGTAAGCAGCACAGCATCTATCAAGCAGTGGCACCAGGGCTCCTTTTAGATGTTACACCCTCAAAAGTCACTGCCATTGAGTCAATTCCAACTCATGACACCTACAGGCCAAGGTAGAGCCCCCGCCCCCTGTGGATTTCTGGGACTAACTCTTTACAGGAGTTGAAAACCTCGTCTGTCTTCCAAGGAGCAGCTGGTGGTTTCAAACTGTCAACGTGTTACCACAACACCACCAGGAATCGTAAAAATTAAATCTCAGAAACTTACAGGGGCCGTTCTCTCCTGCCCTATGGAATCACTATGGCTCCCGATCAACTTGATGGCAGTGAGTGAGATGATACAGTCAGGACTAATTAGGATCACGGGAATCTGGAGGGGGAGCATACTCTGATAATTTAAAAGTACCTTTTTGTCCAATAACTTCAACCTCTTCTCCAAAATATTTTTTACACAGTCGTTAAACGTGTCACTTTGGGGGCGGAAATCAGTCAACCTTCCTGACCCTTGGCTACTCTTGATGGTCCTTCCAGCTCTGTGTGAAGTGTAGAGAAAGGGAGCACCCGCAGGAAAGGAATTGACCAATCCAGCAAATCCCGAACAATCTGCACTGAAATGGTGACGCCCATCACACGCCACTCCATGAAAGGTTGAAGCGCACGCCATCTACCACACTGGGCCTGTGACATGCACCAATTTCTCTTCCTGTTAGAATGAGAGAGAAAAGGAAGCTGTCAAAGGCACAGCGTGACTGATGGTAGAGAATTACCAATGCCACTTCTAAAGGACTGCGTGGCTTACAAAGCGAAATTGCTTTGCGGTAGTTATACAATCTATTGCCAATTTGAGAGGGTTAAGAGTGAAGGGGTGGGGTTTAGCCTGTCAATCAGGTCACAGTTTGATGACCTCATTTGGAGGTGCTAAGAAGATAAATAGTTCGCTGGAGGTAGGATGCAGCCAGACTCTCTGGGAGACATTGCAGCTGACAAGACACATGGAACTATGTTAGTGCCCTGAGCTGGAGGAGCCACATGGAGACTCCTGCCAGCACTGAGATGCTTACAACATCACTGGATCCACAAGACTCCCCACTCACTGGCCTGTGATCTTCCTGAATTCTGTGCCAGTGTATGTGTTTCGTGAATCTGAAGAGGAATTTATAGATTGGTATCAAACATATGGGTTAATATCAGACTTATGGACTTGATCTGGACTGGGCTGGAATACTTTCTCAATATTCAACTGCTCCTTTTATAAAGCTCTTTCTTATACACATATGAGTCTCCATGAATTTGTTTCTCTTGTCTACCCAGACTAACACATCCTTAAATGACCAGAGTTGCATGAACTACCCATAATAAACCACCTCTTTGGCAGTGCCCTGATTACCTAAAGGCTAATGGCACACGGGAACAAAACATAGAGCTCACATCTTCAGACCCATGTGCTAGCTCCAACGACACTAGCTATATGGCCTTGAGAAAGTCCTATGCCTCTTGAAAGATTAGTGATCTGGGGAATAAAAAGGGTGATGACACCAGTGAGATAATGGATGTGAAATGTTTTGGCAACAAGGAAGCATTATATAAATTTAAATAATGGTAAAGCCATATATGCTGTAAATATTGATTATGTAATCAGCATTGTGGGGAAATAAGGAAAAGGCATTCAAATTAGTCTCTGTGCTTGCATTCATATTGGGGATACAAGTCAGCTTGGAGTTTTCAAAACATATTTGCAAGAGTCATCTTATTTGCCCTCCAAATTTCTCAATGAGGTAGGTTGATCTGTTACTATTATGCTTATTTAACATATGGGATTCAGTATAAGTGAGTTAAATGCCCATTGGGGATAGAGAGCATGAACCAAAACGAATTTCTTCCAACTCCTAATAAAATATGTTTTCATTCAGCCATACCATTCATTATCTCCACTTAGCTAGGTTTAAGTGGTACAGGATCTATAATTTCTGTGGAAATTCAGATAAAGGGTGAATGATTGACAATTAGCAATTTTAAAATCTAGACCAACCAACCGCCTCCTCATCGCCAATATAGACACCAGCTGTGCTCAACCCATCAAGCTAGCTAGAGACACCAAAGTGCTGAGCAGGACCAGCTCCTCAGGACAGTGCATGCAGGTGAGCATGGAGTTCATCGATGACATGAGCTGCTCCAGCAGGTGCAACATGAAGGGTCCTATGCTTGCGGGTGATGTGTTCACCCCGATGGAATCCAAGCTACAAGCCCAGAAGGCTGCACTGGGGCTGTTGCTGGTTCTCACATGTCTGGTCAACAATTTGATCAGCAGGGGCGAATTGTGACTTTTCAATAAAGCACTCATATTATATGTAAAAAATAAAAAGTCTTTATTGAGGAGGCACTCCAGAAAGCTAGGTAGGATTCTAGTAGGATGAGGATCTCGAAGTGAGCACTCATAATTACCTGGAGAGGCCTCTTCAGACCCATCAGAATTTTATGTGGCCCCTTCCCACCTTGATCCTGAGAGCTCCTGTATTGTGAACTGCCAACACTAAGGAGGGAATTTTATACTTTTCAGGTCTTTTTAGTTTTTCGGGGTTTTTTTTTTAAGGCAAAATTCATCTTAGTCTAATTCCCTTGTTTGTCTCTTTGACACATATAAAAAACCATAACCAAAACCACTGCCATAGAGTTGATTCTACTTCATGTACCTCTTTATAAGAGTGGGCATCCCAGACCAGGCCAACTCCAGTCCGCACATTCAATGCAAGCCAAAGCCCTCTTCGGACTAGCATATCTGCAGTGAAGCAGAAAAGTGGAACCATTTTTTAAGAGATAGAGAAAGCAAATGGGTATCAAATTATAGAGATAAAGGGGGAGACAGGATTTCATGAAAATCTAAGAACAAATGCCATAGGACTGGGCTGTCATGACTGATAGAGCTCTGTATCCAGAAGGATAAAGACTTCCTTGGCGGGAGAGTGGGGGATAAGAGGAGATGATATTAAGGAGTTCACGAAGAAAGAGCATTTTTTAAACTGATGTGCTAGCAATTACTGCTACCTCCATACTGCTTGACCTGATTGAACCCTGGAATGATATCTGTATTAGTTCCCAATGAAATGGTTTTGGGAAAAAAAATAGATGGTGAGGTTGACAAGTGATTTTTAACTAGAGGGCTAAAGCCTAATTTCTAGGCTTATGGAAACAGTTGTCATTATTTTCATCAGTGAACTTTATAATAAATAAATCCTATGACTTTGAGATAAAAATATATTTATAATGCTTTTCTATATGAAGTTTTTGGTCTATTTTCCATACTTAGGTAATTAAAAAAAAACAATTATATTTCTTAAGGGAAGAAGGGAATAGAGGGGAGGGGAGGAAGGGAAGTAGGGAGGAGGAGTTTAAAATCACTGGTCAAGTTCTAATATTGACCTCGAAGAAGAGAGCCATGAATTTTAGTTAATTTGATCATAAACATACTGTGATGCTTTGAGCAATCAAATTTTTCCCCTTCAAACTGCAAAACCCATGCCTTTAATAAAGGTCCACTTCATCCTACTCAGAATCCAGAGTTGAAGGAGACATGGTCTGTGCCTTCCCAGGGGTTATAATCAGTGAGATGAGAGAGAACATAGCATAAATTACATACACATAAAACCACAATGAGAGGCCACTTTAGACCTGCTAGGTCAACCACTGGTACAACAAGTTAAGCACTTGGATGCTAACATCTGGTGGCTCTGCAGGACAATGGCCTGGCAATCTGTTCTCATAAGTGTTATAGTCTAACAAACCCTCTGGGGCTGTTGTTGTCTATCGGCTGGTTTGCTGTGAGTTTTCATCAACTCAAGAGCGCCCAGCAGCAGCAACAGCAAGGGTGCCTATCACAAAAAAGTAAAAGACAAACGCATGCGCATTGGGGGAAGAAGTGGAGAAAATGTAACCCTCCTGCATTCCTTCCTGATGGGAAGTGTGGAAAGGGAGGCAGGGGACAGAGAGAAGTCCAGGTTGTGAGACCATCATGGGCAGAAACTCCTGGGAAAGAGCCTGGCATTTTCCAGGTAGTAAATGGAGACCAAATGTGGGCTATATTGATGGGAGAGACAGTCATATTATATTTGGAGAGTTGGAAAGAAACATTGAATATGGTGGCAAGAGGGATAGGTTTTTAATCTTATACCAATCAAAGATCATCTCTGAGACTAGAGATGCTAAAGTCAGAGAGTAAACAGTTTGCCCAAAGTCACGGGCTAATAAATTTCAGAGATTAGAATTCAAAAGCAAGCTTGTTTCACTCCTGAGCCCATGTACTTTACTACACTAAACTGTCTCCCCTTCTTTATAAGAAGTAGGCCTCAGATTTCCTAAAACTTAGGTGCTGGTTTAGTATAATAGGTTCAGATGGTGGCTCAGGAGCAGTTCTACCTTGTGTTTTAGGGTTGCTATGAGTTAGAATTGACCGGATAGCAGGGAATATGGTGGCTCCAGCAGCGAAACTTTCTGTGCCTGGTGTGTATTATGACCAGAGATTGAGGGCTCTGCCTTCCTTCCAAAGATAGAAAACACATATGTAACAAAAGCTACAGAGTCTCTGGGGCCTGAAACAACAACAGCAACAACAACAAAAAACCAACCAGCATCAAATGTGCACATCCATCTGTAACAAGACAACTTATGAAAAGAACTTTTATGGGAAGTATCTTTTATTTAGTAACACATCTTTCTCATACTCTTAAAATCTCCCCTCCCCAGATATTCTGTGGCCACAAGGCATTACATGAGCCTTAGAGCTCGTGGCATTAGGCAAACAAGAGAACACAGGCAGCTGGAAAGGAAGCACCCTGATCTTACCATTAAATGTAAACCTAGATTAACAGAGACGACACACCAGTAGTCGCCTAGCCCTCAGTATAGTTCTTTGATCTACAATCAGTTATGATTTCCATCTTCCCATTTCTCCAACTCCTTTGACCCTTGCAGCCTCTGGTCCAGATATTCTGAGTCTAGTGAGTCATTCAGTGTCCTTTCCTTCGACATCTCTTCACCCTATAGAGCTCGAGTATGGGGACACACCTCTGGAAGACACAGCAAGCAAATGATTGGAGATTGAGGAAGGAGTGGTGAAGGTCATCTAGAATCTCTGTTTTTAGTACATGGAAGGCATTAGTCTGCATTGACTTTCTAGGATCACTTGATACTCACTTGAACGTTCCACACAAACTTGTCATTTTTAGGTTCTGGAATTCCCCTAAATATATATTTTTAACTTCTACACCAAATTTTCTTATCATTTAATTCATGGCAAGTATGTTTCTCTTTACTTCATTGGACATAGTTAGAGGAATGGGTTTAAAGTCTATTTTTGATCATTTAAACATATGCAGAATCAAGGCGTTGGTTTCCACTGTCTTTTTTTCCCATTAGATTAGGTCACATATTCTAGTTCTTGGCATGTCTGGTAACTTCCAATTGCATCCTAGATATTGTGCGTGTAAAGCCTCTGATAGTCATTATTTCTGTCCACAGTGTGTTTGCGGTTTTTACTTGGCAATTAATTCGGATGGATTCATGCAGAAAAGTATGTCTCTTGGGCTAGAGCTCAAATAATCTTATTATATTTCTTTTATCTTTTTTCAGTCTTTTTAAATCATTTTATTAGGGGCTCATACAACTCTTATCACAATCCATACATACATCAACTGTGTCAAGCACATTTGTACATTCGTTACCCACATCATTCTCCAAACATTTCCTCTCCACGTAAGCCCCTTGCATCGGCTCCTCATTTTCCCCCCTCCCTCCTCCCTTCCCTCTCCCTCATGAACCCTTGATAATTTATCAATCATTATGATCTTGTCATATCTTACACTGTCCTACATCTTCCTTCACCCACTTTTCTGTTGTCCGTCCCCCGGGAAGGAGGTCACATGTAGACCCTTAAAATGGGTTCCCCCACTTTAGATAGGCTTCTCTGAGGCTGCTCTGGGCTCAGCCAGACATCCAGTGGCTATGACTGCTACAGACTCAATTCTCTGATTCTGCCGGCCAGAAAGACTACAGGTTTCCTATCAGAGTAACGGACACTGTGTGGTGCTGCCTTTGACAGCTCTCAGACTAACACATGAACATGGGAAACTGATCTCATGCTCTCTCTTCTTCCAAGTGTCAATTCCTTGCCTACTTTTGTTCACTGCCCTGTGCCTTCTGTGTTTCTCCCAGTTTGTTTATAGTTGTTACAGAAATTGGATCCAGTAGACACTACTTGACTGTACCTGAATTGGAACTTGCATAAGGATCCTTTTCAATACAAATCAGATCGTGTAACACCTCTGCTCAAAAGGCTTTAAGCCTCCCCAAATCATTTAGAATAAAAGCCAAAGGACCCACCTAAATCCCCATCGTCTGGTCCTCCCTGTCACTACTCTGCCATCAGGTTTTACTCTCCCTTATTCATTCCATTTCATCCTCAGTGATTCCGTTGCTCCCTTAGCACGTGGCACATGGTCTCCTTTTAGGTACATTATACTACTCCTACCCATGCTTTATCTTCTAATGTACATATTTATTATATTTATTGTCTATTGTCTGTCTCCTTTCTCTAGAACACATTATGGCAGAAACCTTTATTTACTACTGAGTTGCCTGGATATTATTTGCTAAATGAGGAAGTAGATAGATAAATCAGTAAGTATATCTCATTCCTTATATAGGGAAGCTACATCTATTCCAGAAAGCAATCATTGCACAAAATAGTTGGAAAGATTAGTAGTATTGTCCTTAGACATTAAGGATATTATTGGGCACTTTGTGGTAATGACAAATATTCTTACTTTAAAGATGAATTTGCCTTTTGGGAACTGCCAAGAGCCTCTCAGAGTCAAGGATAGTGTAAAAAAAGAAAGAAATCTGGACAATATCATTTAAGTTGGAAAACAGAGCATTACAAGACTATGTCTAATCATGTGGCTCATAATTGTAGTCTGTATGAAGGGGCTTCAAATATTCATGGAAAAATTCCATTCATTTAAACTACATTTTCCACACATATTTTGAAGCCCCTTCCTATATTGTAATGGGATAATATAGTGTAATGGGATACTTTTGAAGTTAAGGGCTCTTGTTTCTTTCTTTCTTTCTTTAAATCATAAGCACCGATATTTATATTCAACCTCTAACTCAGTTGAGTTTAAAATCTCCCAGAATTTAGATAGGCTACGAAAAGGCAACTCCTGGTTCCTGCCAAATGTGATAAGCATAGAGAATTGTCTTCTCAATGTGCTTGCAGAAAGTGTAGAACAGGTGAGCTGACCAAGAAAATTAGATTGGAAGAATCTCG